GAGCAAGGGCCCTGTCATGTGGGCCCGCGATTTTGGGGCTTGTGGTGATTTTCGGTTGAAGACGGGATCAACAGAAGAAATGGCCAGCAGCCACAGAAAAAACCGATTGCGTTTATATTGTACTGTTTTTGGAGCATTTCCGCTTAGGAGCAGGGCGCGCAAGGAGACCAGCCTCTGTCTGGGGCACGGGTCCTATAGGAAAACCTTGTCCACCACGCGTGGTCGGGCAGTGGGCTTGCTTTGGCTACTGGGTGCCCATGGTGTTTTGATGGACCAGTTCACTTTTCAGGGGAACATGCAAACCCTCAACTACATGCGTGCCTTGATTTGCATGGATGAATGCCTGCCTTTCAGCAGAGGTTGTAGTGGTGGTGTGACAAGAGTGCTGATCTCTTTCACCTGCCCTCCCTCCCCAGGCAGCCCATGTGCTGTTTTGTGATGGAGTTATGGGGGGGCTCGGCTGCAGGTGCTGACCTGCACAGCATCCCCCCCCCCTTTGCCTGGTGGTCCTTCCAAAAAAAGCGTGCTTGGAGAGGGAGGGTTGCATAGATGACTATTGGTTTGCGTAGGTCCTTCCTTTGTTTGCGAACTGGATGTGATGGTGCATGTTGGCAACCATTGCCGTCGTTGCTGCCTGCTACGTGCCTGCTGCTGCTGCTGCTGCTGCTGGGTTTGCGCGGGGCTCGCGCAAGACGCCGCCTTCGTATTCCAAATTGACCGTCAGTTTTTGCACTTGCTCCCTGGAAGTTTTGCTACAGCATAGCGAGGTTCCTGTGACATCCACTGCATGCCACTGGCGCTTGGGATGTGCTGGAAGCATTTTGAAGCAGCAGTTGAACACATGTGGCTCTTCATAGGCTTTGCTTTGAGTCGTTCCAGGTTAGATCGTAGAGCCACGCCCATCTACTGGGGTGAGTGGCGGTGTGCCATGGGGATTTGGCGTTGCAAGGCCCACAAAACACACAAAAAGCAGAGCAAGCGTGCGGTGTGCATACGCTTGTGCTTCAGGCTGCTCTTTCACGCCGTGCTCATTCATAGTGTTTTTGTCAAAAAATGCGTTGACTGCGCGCGTGTGCGTTGAATTCTCCCTGAAGCCTTGTGCCCATACAGTGCGTTGACTTCACGCGAATACCGTTGGCTTAAACCCATTGCTTGTAATATTTGAGGCCCTGCGACCAATAACGGGCGGATTGTTAAATGAACCTGGGCATAAGGAGGTTCCAGTGGTGCCGAAAATGCGCGTAACCCCATCGGAGAAGTGGAACATGCATTTTCCTCGCATCTTCGGAGAGTTCGAAAAGAGAATACGTGATGCGGTTCCCAAGCAGAAGCTTGCAACCGGAGCTCTCCCTCATGCTGATCCTCCTCCTCCTCCTCATCATCATCCTCACCATCATGAACATGAACATGATCCTGATCGTATCCCGCCCATGCACTGTGTTGTTTGGCCAAGAATCCTCCTTTGTCCTGGCATTTTGTCTCAGGGCATTGTGGTGTGAGTAAGTCCCAACTCTTGTTCCTGTAAGTCCCAACTCTCCAGCGACCAGTATATATTCAATCAAAAGGGCCGAGGAACCTACATGTTGGGTTCCCTGTGCTTGAATGTCTGCAGCTGTGGGGCATTGCTTGCTGGGCGTGTTCCTGGCGGGAAAGTTCACGAAAGAAACAATCACACCCTTTGCAAACGAACCTGTGCTCAGTGCGACAAGAGCCTGTCGCGCGAAGGGCTCTCCAGCAGGTGTCCCCCACATCTGGAAAGCCGCTTGTGTGGCAAGGCGTGGCGTCACACAAGAGGTAATATGCTCACTACCCGAAAACATTCTTGAGATAAGCATTTTGATTCATAGAGGTTGTGGAATTTTGATATTTGCTTTCTGCAGGAAGCTACTGCAATATTCATTTCATATTGGCAACCCTTTCTATAGGGCAAACCTCCCATCATCGTCAATTGAACCAAACTCTTGGGTTATGAACTGGCCCTGCGTGCAGGGTTGAATTCGCGCGATCCGGACATCGCCGAGGATTCCATCCATGGCTGGCCAAGCAGCAGCTGCAGAAGTTTGTGGGTGGCTGGGAGAATCTGCACGGGGCTACGTTTTTTTCTCGGTCCGTGAGTCCACTAGGAGCAAGGACGCTACTAGGGGCTCCTGGCCTTACTACTAGGAGCAAGGACGCTACTAGGGGCTCCTGGCCTTACTACTAGGAGCATGCACGCTACTAAGGGCTCCTGCCCTTACTACTAGGAGCAAGGACGCTACTAGGGGCTCCTGGCCTTGCCATAGATTGGCATGGGTTCGCCCAGTTCAAGAGGTTTGTTTTGGCTCTGCGAAAGAAAAGCACAAAGGTGCCAGGGGCTTCCCGCCTGCAGGTTTGAACGAAAATGCTTTTCATTCCTCCACATCCCAAGCTGGGCTCAGCGGATCATTTTTTTCCGATTGGCAATGCCTTGTTGTGTCCGGGGCCTTTTCTGTGGAGGTCAATTTCTTTGCCTCAATCGCCTTGGTGCATGGTGTGTCTGGGGCCCTTGCTCGCCAAGGTCTGCCGCAGTGCTCGAGCACCCAAAGCCTCCAGAGACGACGACCTCTGTGCAATTTCAACAGGAATCTGGAAAGCCGCTTGTGTGGCAAGAAGTGGCATCACACAAGAGGTAATATGCTCACTACCCGAAAACATTTTTGAGATAAGCCTTTTGATTCAACGAGGTTGTGGAATTTGAAATTTGCTGTCTTCAGGAAGCTACCACTATTCATTTACGCATATTGGCAACCTTTTCTATATAGGCTAAACCTCCCATCATGGTCAAATAAACCAAACTCTTGGGTTATGAACTGGCCCTGTCCGGTCTGAATTCGCGCGATCCTGACGTCGCCGAGGATTCCATCCACAGCTGGCCAAGCAGCAGCTGCAGAAGTTTGTGGGTGGCTGGGAGAATCTGCACGGGGCAGCATTTTTTCTCGGTCCGTGAGTCCTATGGGTTCGGCAGGGTTTCCACCGCAATGTAATCCAAAGCAGACAGCGGCGGGTCTTTTTTTTCATAAGCCCGCTTCAATTATAGGAGGAGAGTGCTAGAAGTTTTCGAGGCCATCCCTCCTCATGATGGGAGTAACATGGGGACGTACTGTTGCAGAGATGCCAGCGCAGGCCGCCATGCCCGCTTTAACCTTTGTTTCTGCGACTCCCGAATAGACTGTGTGCCTTTGTGCTCCTCGCGATGTTTGCCTTAAAGATTGTTTGCTTTGCTTTCATTTGCATTCGTGCAAGTTAGATGTGAATCCCAGGATTGCGACCGGGTTTTCTCTACAACGTTGATTGGGCTCCCATTTTCACTCAATGCTAGCCGGACCGCGCAAGACACCCTCAGACCATACAACACCAAATACTCTTCCTCGTACCAATATCATTATCCAACGTATATGCACCCATCTATCCATCGGTAAGGGCATTCGCTAACCTATTGATCCATCCATCCATCCATGCGTCTAACTTTCTGTTCAGTCTGTCTGTCTGTCTGTTTTTCTGTCTGTGCGCCGGTCTGTCTGTTTGGTTGTCTGTCTGTCTTTCTGTCTGTCTGTCTGTCGGTCGGTTGGTCGGGTCTGTCTGTCTCTGTCTGTCTGTTCCCTGTCTATCTAATTAGTATGTTTCTATCTCTGTCCTGGATCGATCTCCCTCAGGTTTTGCGATGAGGTTGGGCACTTGACTCCAGACTGCCCAGCTTTGCACAGTTTCTTCCTTGAAGATGCTGCACCTTCATGGTCGAGCCTGAAGCGAATGATGGGCAGTGGCATGGGCGCTGGCAGTGCTGGCGGCATCAAAGTTCCGAGAGAGTGGCTTGAGGACATTGATGTGCCCCCAGATGGGAATTGCTTGTTCAGCGCTATGTCTGTGGCTTTCAAACTCGCACGCAATGAGCGGGTTGGGGTGCAAGACCCGAAGATGCAAACCCACTGGGGCTTGCGAAATCGGCAGGAGCAAGTTGCATGGGTGAAGAAACAACTTGGTCAAAACTCGTCTTTCCCTCCTGACGATGCTGATGCCCCTTCCCTCTCCGCGGTGATCACAGCTTCCTCTGGACTCCAGCCATCCCAGTATTGTTTCTTGGCGCTGCATTTTTTCTCCCGGAATGGAAAATATTCTGCACTACACATATAAGTGCCCACTGTTTTTCCCGCACTGGTGGAAGTGTGCTAGCGAATAGCGAGTGGGGCGCTAGAGTTTGTGCTTCGGTCCGTGGTTGCTTGAGGGAAGTTGTATTGACTTGGACCTGTCATGGGTTAAATGTTATTGCAGCGACGTGATGCGAAGATCAGCCCTTTCCTGATTGAGTTTTCATTCTATAATTGCCATGCTGGGACCTTATGAACATCCTCCCAAGCCTTGACTTTAGGATGTACAGGAGCCCAGCTCACAGTCATGTGGTCTGCTCGGATGAACCTCCATGGTCTTGGTAGTTTGCGATGAAAACCACCGGGGCATCCAAAAACATGGAAAACAAAGCTTGGGCCTGCCAAGGTGAGATCATGGCGACATTTGGTTCTCACAGAAGGCAGTGGGGTGGTTTCTTTGAGATTGCCGTCATGTCGCAGAGGTGGCGGTACAGGACGCACATCCTGCGAGAAGTGGCCCAGGAGTTGCAATATGTTTGCTCCATTGGCCGAGAGCACCGAAAAGAAATTTCGGTGGTGTGGACGGGGAGCCACTACAGAGCTCTTCGCATCCTCAAACAGGATGACTTTCTGAAGCTGTGTGGTGTGAAGTGAAAAGGGAGTTCTCTTGTCTTGTGCCGTTTTTTCCCGTTCTTTGGCGGGGTGCTCAGTGGATCCACCCCACCCCCTTTAGTCCTCACCCCCAGTACTTTTCTCTAGAGAATGAACCTTCACTATTCTCATACTTCTCAACTAAGAAAACGCACCAAAAAAACAGCACGACCCCATGTTCATTTTTCTCGATTTGAACCCTCATCCCGAGCGGAGAGACGAGCCGCGGTCGGTGCTCGTCCCGAGGCTTTGGCCCTTCCTTTCGCTGAAGCGACGTCCACGGCCGCACGAAGTGCTGCTCTGCCATCCGAAGTCCTCCACGGAGCAGATGTTGTTGCTACTCCTGAGGCCCAATTGAAAGCGGTTGGGCCTAAGAGGTATGATTGTCTCGTGCAATGTATGTCTACGTGTTTGAGGGTCGGGTGCGTGAATTTTTTGGTGGTCTCGTGTGTGCGATTGGGAGGAATCTGAGGAAATGCGTTTGAAAACTGATTGAGCCATATTGAGCAGGTTTCCATGTTCCTTTAAGAGATGCACGACACAGCGATCTGTCCTCACCTCTCCAAAGCACCGGAGGACGTGAGCGTCTTGTGCTGCCTGACACGTTCAATGCAAGGTCGCACACGTCGTTCGCCGTTGGTTATCTCACGAAGTCTCGGTTCCAACCTCGACGACCCTTCGGTCATCGAATCAGGTGGTGCCAGTCCTCGGAGGGCTTCTTTTGCTTGCTCCTGCCCGAAAGCAGCTCCTTTGCCGCCCAACAGACCATTGTCCAAGCGGCCACCTGACAGCATGGAGCGAACCCTGCTACGTACGTTGTGCTATACTTGTAGTGCTGTGTGTGCTGTGTGCTCGGAGACGGTGGTGTTCGGGGTCAAAACGAGCTCGGAACCGACCGGTTGACCGCAGAACATGAACAGAGTGGACTACCAGGAAGGTCAACTTACTGGAGTTTAGGGCTTCCAGTTTTGGACCCACAGCCATATTATCGTCCGACCCAGCAAATAAAGAGCTTCATGATTCGTGATCCAGTGGGAGCCTGGCGAAACGATTGAATTTGTGAACAAGGGTTGTGCTCCTTGGACAGTGTTCACTCAAACATCTATTGTGGCCTGAATGTCTCTCTATAAAGATCTGATTAAGCAAGATACTGAGGTGCATGATGCAACAGATGAGGCGAGTTGGGTTCTGCGAACGGCAGATTGCTTAGCTAGAGAAGGCAGGTAGGCCTTTAGGTTGAAGACAACACTTGGGATGTTGAGCAGCTGTGCGAGGGTTCAGGTGACTGATAACATAGACAACCGAATCTGTTGTGAAACACAGAGGAAAGGGTTCATTCATGAGGTGCATATAATTGTCTTTTTCTAATATCTCTGTTTGGTTGCCAACGACAAGAAGCCAACCAATCAAGCCATATAGCACATAGCAATTCCATGACTTCCAGAACCTGCAGTCGGGTGTTTTGTTTGGAGTGTCGAATCCAAAGGGTGAAAACAACATCTGAGAGTTGATGAGAGTCGTCATCCAGTATCCAGTATCCATTTGCAGTATCCCATGCAGTTACATACAAGACGTGATTCCAGAAGTTTCAACGTTAGTTTGGGTCATGAAGACACTTCGAGCAAGCTGTCGCCTTTGGTCATGTGCGCACCTGTGGTAGCAGGGGAACCCTGTGGTTACTGAGTTGACCACAGAGGTAAAGCGGTTGATGACCATTGGCACTTGGACGTGCTTGAGTTTGGTTTTAACATGCTTTAACATGTTCTATAACGTCCATTTGGCTTAAACCTGTTCAAAACAAGTTAAACCTGTCAAGCATTTGGACTTGTTTTATGTCTATGCTGTCAAATCTTCTCTGGCAGGGGACTTTGGCTAATTGGTCTCCCTCTTCCAATGTTACACACTGTTTGCCAGTAAAGCCTCGCAGACAAAGGCCCAGGCCGGCCCCTCCCGTCACCGGTTTTCTGCATGCGAAGAGCTCCCCTGGCCGAGGGTGGGCCATTGCCCAAGCCGCGCTGCCCGTTGATGTTGGTGATCTGTGGCGCTCAAGCTGCCCAGGCGCGGATAGAAGGAAGGTGCTTGAAGAGGTAGGGGAGTTGCGATCAAGTAGAAGGTCTTATATACTCCCAAAAGAGCAAGACGCATTCTCAAATAGAATAATACCGTATCAGATCAAAACACTATGCAGCATGGGTGCGTAAATCGGAATAGGGAGACTCCCAGCAGACCCAGCGAAGAGGAAGAAGAGGAAGAAGAGGAAGCCGATCACTGATCACCTTGAAAATCACACAGTCCCGTGATTCTTTTACCGTCCTTAGTTTCAACCACCACCTGAACCACGTTCGTTGAGCCACACACTTCGAGGCTCAGGTGGCCACGCAGCTGATGGCACACCGCGTGGAGCTGCGACCACCGCTGGAGCTCTTCGCACAGGAGGCACTCCTTTTTGGTCCGATGGTCCGGGATCGGGGGAAGCCTGGGATGACATGGTTTGAAACCGAAAACACGAAGAACGAAACTTTGGGGGATGCCAGGTATTAGTATGCTTCTCTTAATGAATAGGTTATTGGCATGTTTAGCCGTTCTATTTCAAGTGCATGAGGTTCGACACTTGAAAAGAACTGCCAACTGCCAACTGCCTGGTGTGTCGTTGCGTCCGCAACAGACGTTTTGGAAAACTTTGGTTTGATCGATTTGAAACATTTTTTGGGGGTGCGCACGGTGGGGCACGACGGAACAGAGTCGCTGACTGCTCAGAGACTTATGTTGGCCTGTTGTTTCCTTTCGACATCTTGTTGGAGGCATCCTGGATGTGTTTAGTGTTCCTGATCTCATCAGAACCTTGCTGGTTTGCTTTTTTGGCGCTTGCAGGGGCAATTAGGTGCCCCAACAAACATGCAGCAATGTATCTTCACTCTGAGGTGGTTACTGGCTGCACATGAGTAGAAACGAGTGGTATCCCCAGATCACCCAGTATTTCTGCTGAAAGCTTTGGCGATGTTGGGAGAAACTCATGATGTTCCCAAGTCAATGTGCTGACTGGGAGATGCTCAGCCCCCAAGGTTACAGAAAATCCTGGAGGGAGATGTTCAAAGCCATCGATTTGGATTTCCTAGGCGAACCATTGTTAGAACATCTCCAAACATCCAGAATTTGGCCATTAGAGATGTCCTGTTTGGATGTTATAAACTTAACCAACCCGCAACATCTCTCAATGGATCGGTTTAATGGAACATCTACCAAAAACCATGCTGTTCACCCGCCAAAAACCACGGGTGAAACCGGGTTTCCCTTGCTTCCCTGAAAACCAATTAATATATAATATCTGGAAACCTCCCAAACCAATCACTCCAAAGCTGAATGAGGTGGCTCCATGGCTCTTAGCATCTGGCGACCGAGAAGAACTCGGGATCTCAGTGCACGTGGGCCCGCAACTGGGCTCTCAACCCGCGCGGCTCTCGCGACGCGTGCGGATGGAAATGGAAAGGTGTATGGGAAGGTACCGATCTACAGATTCCAAGGACCTAGAAAACACCTGCATGGCGGATGATATCGCCTATAGGGCCTAATCCCTTCCACCTGGTCATCCATAGATAATGTAGACTGCTGATCAATAACACCTCCCCATTTTGGATTGTAAAACCTCTCGAGCTCTATATGGAGGTTTTACCGTAGTCAACAGTCTACATTGCGTAGATTGATGTAGATTGTCATTCTTCGCACCAGGTATTTTATTTCATGAAGAATCTAAGAACCGGTAGGCGCCATTTGGATCCATTTGGTCATACAAGCCTGGGCAGTAGCTTCGCCATGACAAAAAGACCGGCGCATGACTCTCATAGATCATTGACCTCCTTTCCGCGATGTCGGCGACAGGCATTGCGGGTGTGGCAAGACCTTCTCCGTTCGAATGACGGCCAAGGAGGGGTGAGGGATTGGGGTGCCCTCCTGGTGCCCTCCTGTCAGGGGTGCATCCGAGTCGATAGAGTTCGTTTGATCCATCCCATTCCATCCAAGGGTCGACAACCCTTCCCACTTGTGATGGGACTCATTATTTAATTTATCTACTATTTAAAACGAAGAGCTCAAAGCCGGATCTTGATCCCCAAGCCTCCATACACATAGCTGCGCCCACTGTCAGCTTTAGACATCCAAGTGCTTGGGATAGCAGGAGGCCGACTGTGACTACGCCACGCTGAAGCTTACGGCCTCCATGGGCATTGGAAAGCTCAGCCAAGAGCTTCGCACTGCACTCGCGCAGCGAACGGTCGCCCCAGGCGATGAGGACGACGACTTGTGGCGGGTGACTGATGGATGGTGATGGAAGAGAAAATGCCTGAAGACACGATCACCAGATTTCTTATTGCTATTATTATTATTATTACTATTATATTATTTTTGTTGTTCTTTTTTTTTTTTAAATAACCATGTGTTAATCATATCCAATTGGTTCGAGGTTTGCTTGATGCAGGAGGGTCATACAATTCCTTTTCCAGCCAGAATGTTTATCATGCACGTTTCCGCCAGAGCCCCCCCTCCGTGTCCAAGGTCCATACCCACACAACACCAGAGAACACCAAGTCGCTCGCTTGATCCAAGTCGTGGATAGGTCGTGACCCACGGTGTTCGCCCAAGGGTCTTCCACCTGGTGCCAGTTGCCCAGCCCCCGGCGAGGTGAGGGGACGCCCTGGGCGCCGCCGGGCACTAGACGAAAGCAACTCTTGCACCTGGACTTGAGTGCCTCACTCAGTTGGCTTTTTACGAGTTGTTTTTTTCCCCCAGACTGGGGGGGTCTCAGTTTTTGAAGATGGCTGCAACCTTGGGGTACATTGGCTTATCGTTAAGCATATGTTTTTCCAGGAACTACTTGGCACATGTTTTCAGCATGGCTTTGAGTTGTTGTTGTTGTTGTTGTTGCTGTCGTTGCTGTCGTTGTTGTTGTTGTTGTTGTTGTTGTTGTTTTCCTTCTTCATGTAAAGTTGGATGCGGCACGATCTCGTGCAGTCCTGCACATCGGGTGATTCGCCCAGATGGTCCGTCTTCACCGCTGGATCTTCTTGGAACGGACGTGCACTCTCACTCACGTGTACACATGGTGGATGGCATGGTCCCGAAAAGAAGATTCCTGCGGTGTAACAGTGGATGGTGGTCCAGTTGCAGGCCTTGTCCAAAAACGAGTGATTTGCGAACGTTGAAACCGGGTCCTGTTACAGGTTTACGAACGGACAGACCCTGTTCAGATGGCTTTCCTTTACGAAAATCGGTGCTGGGTCTGTCATGTGAACTCCAACCCGCCCAGGTGCTGGTCAGCAACTCTTGGACTCGGAGGCCTTTGCCGTGGCACTCCTCGTGTCCCGGTGGCAGAGACACGGTCGATGCGGGTCCGAGACACCGGCAGACCAGACCACTGGCGATGAGAACAGTAGCGAATGGGTGAGTACAGGTGGGTGGTCTTGGTGAACATTTTAAGACAGAGCTGTCTTTTGCATTCTTTTGCCAGTGCTTCAGATCGGAGCTTTTGACTGTAGGAACTTCTGGTCTTGGGTCGCCTTGGCCGAACGGCTGCCCGGACACCCCAAGCGATCTTCGAACTTGAGAGCAGGTCGGGCGAGCAAGTCGGCCAAAAGCGATGGCTTGTTGGTTTTGACAGCCCCTCAAGCATTGAACCTGCAGATTGGTTTGCTTTGAACGGTGACTTGAGATCAGTCGAGAGGCTGCAAGGCACTCTTATACTTACCTTGGGGCAGAGTTTGGGATTCTGACTCCTTTGCCAAAAAACTTTCTATAATTATAGAACTTGGATGAAATTCTCACATAACTACTTGAACATCTTTGAACTTTTTGGAGACGTCCCATCCAGTTCTCATCATGTTCGCTGCCCAAGCAGCTCCCCAAGCAGCTCCCCACAGCCGCGACTGGCAGGGTCCGTGTGGCTTTGGAGCTGCCCGCGGGCGCCAGTGCGGACGGCTGGCCCCGTGCGCCGCTGCTGGGGTGGCTGCCCGTGGTGAGCTGTTCCTCCGAGGTCCAACCCGAAAAGCGGCGAAAACAGTGATTTTTGGACAGTAACAGGTGCCACGCTAGTAGTAACAAGTGCCTTACTAGTAGTAACAAGAAACTACTAGGAACAAGTGCATCGCTACTAGTAGTATGGATACGGCAGATTTACGGCAGAAGTTGGAAGATCTTGAGGAGCAAGGTACCGATTTGCCATGCAATCTGTTGAAGGAAATCCAAGTGTATCCAAGTGGTTTCAAGTGGTTTCACTTGCGGTATGCGGCGATCTTGGTCGAAGTGGGGATTTGTTGATCAACATGCCCTTTCGGGTTGAACTGCACCTCTCCCCCAACCCAAGATGACTTGCACAAGCAGCAAAGATGCTATTTTCCCTCCATTTTGTATCCTTGTCTGCCCTTCACCTTCTCTGAACCAACAAGCACACCATCTCCGTCCCCTCCAAGCCCGCTTCCGACCGGGAGACGAGGCCGCCAGCTTCCGCGCGGACGAGGCGTCGCTGCGCTTCGGCATGGGCGCGGCCTTTGCCTCGGCCAGGCCGTGGGGGGGTGCGGTGCGGCCTCGGTGCATCGGTGCGGCATCGCTCATGGCTAGATCTAGTCAGATCCAGTCTGTTTCATGAGTCTGCTCCATTTCAGTGGAGACCTGCCAGGCCCCAAAGAAGGAATATATGACCAGGACTGGGGCGCCAAAAAAGATCGGGGGGGTCTCCCGAAATTTTAAGATACTCCCAGGTGAAGATGGGCGCTTGACATTCGGTCCTCCTCTTTAGGTTGTGAGGGTGCCACATTGTATTGAATCCAATGCTAGGGACTAAATAATACTTTTAAAGTTTACAAGTTTACTACAATATGCCAGGGCCACTAGAGTGAAAACCACCTATATGAGACTCAAGAGATGCTGGGGATCGGAAAAAAGATCACAAAAAGAGAAGCTCCAAGGCCTCCCGGGAGAGGCGGGTGGAGGCCTCCAAAGTACTCGCTGGTTCCTGGCAGTCCGCGACACCAAGGCCGAAACAGGGCCATGTGAACATGTCTACTGGTCCTAGGAGCCTGCAATGTCATGACTTTTAAGGTTTTTCAAGCAGAATAGGGAGCAACAAAACACGGAATGCATGAAAACAACACCTTGGATGAAACTCATTGTTTTCGTCAGACATGCCTGTCTCTCAAACATCCCGACGCAGGCATGATGGAGTCAAGGATGGAAGTCCTGCAAATGCTTACCGGCGCCTTCAGTTCGTGTGCGGTGCTTTGGCCACTTGCTTGAACAGCGGAGAACAGTACGTGGACAGCGGAGAGACGGGCTTGCTGGTCTTGTCGCATTATGTGATGAGTGAAGAATGAACTGTACCAGTTTCCATCCAAAAATTACCAATTGCGTATCAAAGAAGGGTTTGTTTGGTATTCGACCTTGCTCCAGCAGTACTGTCCACATGGGTTCGAGGATGTTGGAGGTCTGGAATAACCATTGTGCGACAGCTGAAACTTCTCATGCCGTGGGTGTTATTGGCAGATGTGCCAGTCCGTTAGGTTTGCTTCCTGCTGTGCAGGTGTAGGTTTGGATGTCCATTTGGTGCCTATTGACAAGATTTGGACTGGTGACTCTGCGACATCTTGTGTTCCCTTCGTGGGCAAAAACTATTTCTGACGAATCCCTGTTGTGCAATCATGTGCAATCAGCCTTGTGTAGATCCATAATCATCCATAATCCAGATTGTGCCAAATTATGGTTTCAGAGAGGCACTATCCACATTTGATGCTGAATTCTCAAGCTGCCAGTTTGTCCAGCATGTTTCATTCACAGCCCCACGTCACCCAAGTGGCCCCTGCGACCTGCCCGTAAGTCTCCCAAACACACGCTGAAAAACTCCTCCGGCTCCTTCTCCCGCCCGACTCCGCCGACTCCCGCCTGGCTCCGTCTGATGTCGAGGCCGTCTCCAAGCGTCTCAAGGGCGCCTTTCCGCTGCACTTCCGCGCGAACGACCTCACCGAGCTGTCGGGCGAGACCTGCTACCAGCTGTGGCGCGGTGTACGGGTTTTGGCGGTCGCGTGGGCGCCAGCGGTGCGGTCGGGGCGGGGTTCGACACGGTTGGCACCAGCTGTTTCGGTCTGCGAAACGGGAGGGGGACGAAAGGACGTGTTTGACACCGGGGCATCATGGGATTGACGGAACTGGTCGGAGCGGTCGGGTGTTTGGGGAAGATCGACGCTTGGGGCTTGGGGAGGTGGCGCTAGGCTTTTCAAGTTCCAAAGAAGATACTGCAGACGGGACTACCCTACCCCTCCAAGTAAGAGTAGTACTGAGTAGTGAGTAGAGGTTTGCAGGGCTTCTCCTGTAACGAACAGGGTGGGGGGATGTTTGCTGGCTACTCCTTGCAAAATGGTACCAGCCAACCTCACCGACATCATCAGCCAACATCCCCACTCCGCCGGCGTCACCGTCTCACCTTAGGCTGGTGGAGACGGCGAAGCTGCAGCTGCGGCCCTCCTTGTGGAACCTATGGGCCTTTGTGGATGTGCTGTACTGGCAGCTCAAGGAGGCAAGAAAACGGTGGCGATTCTGCAATGCCCATTGACAGCACACATAGGTTGGCATTTCAGTTATTAATAATTCCATTAGGATATTTTTAAGATACAATATGTCTATAAGCCTTAGGTTGATGTTTGCAAGTTTGTTGGGGGATGAGATGGATGGAGATGGCACAGGGAGATGGTGTCAGAAGATCATGCTGGTGCGGTCTTCCTTCAATGGTGTCCCAACGGCGCAGGTGCATCATCCCGAGTCCGTGGCCAATCAAGCCTGTCTTCCGGAGGACGACTTGGTGCGGCACCGATGCCGCACATTGCGGCAAGATCAGGGGACAGACACTGCTCGAAGTCAATAGCCGAAGGTCCACTTCCCCCCGTTTGGCAATAGTAAGGATCATGGTCGGATTTTAGGGCAGGCCGTTTTTTGGGGGCAGGTGTGTGGTGACCTGCGGTCTGTGCCCCATGAATTTGTCAGGAGGGAGCTCCCATGGAGAAGCCCTTGGATGAGATTCAGCCTGAGGATTGCCCCATCTTCAAAGGCACGGTGCGTTTTGCAGGGTGAAAGGGTGTTTGGTTTCTTCGCTTGTGTTGTTTGAATGGCAGAAAGCCAAACAAGAATGGAGAAGAGGATCCTATCTTGAAGCCACACATAAGGATAGTCCTCTTCGAGCTCAACAAGAGAGAGAGAGAGAGAGAGAGAGAGTGAGAGAGAGAGAGAGAGAGTGAGTGAGTGAGTGAGTGAGTGAGAGGGAGGGGGGAGAGATAGAAACAGAGAGAGAGAGAGAGAGTCTCAGCAGCAGGTTTGTTTGCACCTCAGATTCATCTCAGTAAGTTGTGTAATAACTGTCGCCCTTAACCGCTACGAGTCACACATGACCCCTCTTCCAGCCGTCTCTTCCAGCCGTCTCTCCGCCGTCCAGTACTGGTCAGTCTCTGTTTGGTCCAAATCATTCAATACAGGACCTTGTGACATGATGTTGCCAGACAAGCTTGTGGAGGCATGGCATATCATGGAATATCATGGAATGACGGAGATTTGCTAGTCCCCTCTCATCGAGGTTGGCAGTGGCAGTAGCCAGACAGAGTATCGACCTTGGTACACTCACAGGACGGTAAGAGGATCACATGACGTCTATGTTTTTGTTTGGTTGAACATTCACGCAAAGTATAATAGAACTATTTGCAGGACAATCTCTGGCAGCACCTCCATCTCTAGCCAGCTCTCCATTTTCAAGACATGTTAATATAGAGAACATTCACCTGGGTTCCTGGATGGCGGGTTCCTCGATGGCGCAATCCAGCGATTGGAGTTTCAGCACGTTGCCTTGGATGGTCATTGGTAGATGTTTTTTGTCACTTTAGTTCGTCAACATGGAAACATGTGGTACCAATGCCGGGCTTTTCTTAGGATGATTTTTCTATATTTGTCTATTTTCCCAATATGTTCCCTATGGGTGAATCTCCTTCTGGGGAATATGTTTTTTTCTATTTTTCTCTGGTTCCTTAAGCAAATCCAAGAATGGTATCCCGAACAAATGCTCCGAACATAACTTATGACAGGGACCTCTGGTGTTGAACTTTTTCTTGTTTTTGGTGGCGTCTTGTCATATCATTGCTGGTCTTCTGCAAAGGGAACCGGGTGAAGACTGGGAAAGGTGATTGTATTCTGCTTCATCTCAGTGTGCCAGGTGGTTTTCCTTCAGCTGTATTCCTTTGAGTGGATGGCTTCTCCCTGCTGACGCCTCCTCGAGCAGACACCGGCGGAACTCGTTAGAAGCTCCGCTGCCGGAGGAGGTGCTGGAGATTCGCGTGGTGGGCCTCGATGGTGAAGGTTTTCGACTCTTGGGCGTGCCAGAGTCGTTGTTGGGCCGTCATCTGCAGAAGATGATCAGCGAGCGGCTACCGGCCAAGGCCGGTGCCCGCGTCTTGGTGCAGAAAGGAGCTCAGATGTTGTCGCCGGCGAAGAGCCTCAAAGAGCAAGGCCTACATCGCTCTGAGGCGGAAGAAAGTGAAACGGATTCCTGTCTGCAAGTGTCCTACATTTATGGACCCAGCAACTTGCAGAATGCCTATCGATTCATCATAGGCTTGCCTGTTGAAGAGGAAGAAATTGCCTTAGAAGGCCTGACGCTGCTCAGCGGGATGAGCTCGCTGAATCAGCTGAGAGAACTTCCTGCCAGCCTCAGGACTCTGGCATTTGGTGAAGATTTCAACCAGGGTTTGGAAGGACTCCATTGGCCGAGCAACATGAAGAGCCTTACTTTTGGCAAACAATTCAACCAAAGATTGGAAGGAGTGACCTTGCCAAGCAGCCTGCAAAGTCTGACGTTTGGCGAGAACTTCAACCAGAGTTTGACACGTTTGGCTTTTCCCAGCAGCCTGCAAAGTCTGACGTTTGGCAAGGCCTTTAATCTGAGCATCGATCGAGTCACTTGGCCTCCAAATCTGCTGCATTTGACCCTGGGCGATCGTTTTGATCAGAGTTTGCAGCGTGTCACACTGCCCAGAAGCCTCATCAGCTTAGAATTTGGGGATCACTTCAACCAGAATCTCGAAGAGGCGATCCTCCCAAGCAGCCTCAAGAGCCTGAAGTTTGGACTGGGCTTTAACCAGAACTTGACACATGTCTCTTGGCCCAGTCACCTGGAAAGCCTCACCTTTGGCAGCTTTTTCAACCAAAGTTTGGAGCGAATGGCCTTGCCCGACAGCCTGCAGACCTTGGTCTTCGGCAGTGGATTCGATCAGACCTTAGAGGAGGTCACTTGGCCCAGTGGCCTACGGACTTTGACCCTGGGCAATCAGTTCAATCAGAGCCTGGAACGAGTGGCCTGGCCTCCGTGTCTCGAGCACTTGAGCTTTGGGAATCAGTTCAACCAAAGCTTGGAAGGAGTAGCTTGGCCCAAGAGCTTGAAGACCTTGACCTTTGGCGAGCTGTCTTCCTTCAACCAAAGCTTGGAGAGAGCCACCTGGCCTAGTGGTCTCCAGAGTTTGACCTTCGGTTTCGGATTCAACCAGCCTTTGGAGGAGGTGCACTGGCCGGCGAGCCTGCTACATCTGAAGTTCGGGGCACGCTTCAACCAGAGATTACAGCAGGTCACCTGGCCAAAGGCTCTTGAAAGCTTCTTCGTGGGCAATGGATTTGATCAGACCTTGGCAGCTGTGGCCTGGCCCAGCAGTTTGAAGACGTTGATGCTCGGCCATGCTTTTGACCAGAAGCTGGAGCACGCGACCTGGCCCCCAAAGCTTCAAAGCTTGACCCTCGGCAATCGCTTCAATCAGAGCCTGGAAGACGTGAATTGGCCCGAGAGTCTAGAGACTTTGAAGTTTGCCGGCGGATTCAACCAGTTTGGCAGTGGATTTAACAAACCCTTGCCCCACAGCTGGCCCCCAAGACTGCAGAGCCTGACGCTTGGGGATTCTTTTGATCAGAGTTTGGAAGGCGTGAGGTGGCCTGCGGAGCTCCGGTGCCTGACCTTTGGCACTCGCTTCGATCAGTCCTTGCAGAAGATCACGTGGCCTCAAAGCCTTGAGTCGCTGACCTTCGGCAATCGCTTCAACCATCCTTTGCACCGAGTGGTTTGGCCGAACAGCCTGCAGAGTTTGACCTTGAGCAATCAGTTCAATCAGAGCTTGAAGCGAGTGGCATTGCCCAGCAGCCTGCAGAGGCTGACTCTGGGCTGTCCTTTCGACCAGATCTTGGTAGGAGTGACTTTGCCCAGGGGCCTTAAGCTCATAGACCACAATGGTCTCGTCTTGAGTACACTCTCAGATGCTTGATATTCACTCAGATGTTTCAATGCTCATCAATGCTCTCTCTGCGAAAAACAAAAAAACACATGCACAATGACTCTGTGACTCGTGGCGCACGAAGACAAAATGGATGTCGCTGTGTTCCTCTCATGTCTCGGCGGAGACCACGATGTCGGACCTCTAACCACGTGTGGCTTGTCGGCTCGTCTGTGTGTTTTGGGACCCCATACACCTGGTATTTGCTCGACTTGGAAGTAGATGGCACTAGACGACACTCAGTTCGAAGAGCTGAGATACCTTGAACAAAACCACATTCCAAATTCAATCTGTATATATATATATATATTCTCCTGGTGCCAGTTCCCCGCAGCCAAATATCGCCTCTCATTCGGACTGTCACAGTTTCTTCAGACTTCAGTCACTGAAGAGTCTCATCTCCGTCAGTCTGGCTGTCCTTCTTCTACTCCTGATCCGGAGTCTCAGGAGCCGCACACATCCGCAGCCACGTCCACTTTAGTCCGATATTTGGGAGCCGAGACCTCCTGCCTCCAAGCAACCAACCAATGGCCAATGGATGCTTAATGGATCAGCTGATTTTTCCCGTAAGCAAATCCAGGTAGGCAATTTGTATAGGCAACCCCTGCCCAAGAAATTCCGTGCTTGAAGGCAAACCATGACAAAGCCATGCAACCCTCCACATATATCCTTGGATTTTGAGCTAACCTTCACCTTTGACATCTTGACCCTCAGGCGAGTTGATTGCCTTCATCTTACGCACGGCCCGGGATTTCGCCACCCGGCAGACCAAAAACAACGAGGCGCGCGAGGCGTTTCGTTTCCTGGGTGTTGGAAAGATGGACCGACGCAGCGGCGGTTTTTGTGGACTCTCTCCGAAGTCAGGCCTGGATGCATCTAGACTACGTGGAGAATCCTACCTCCGTTTGATCCTTTCCTCTCAGGATAGAGTGCCGTTTTGGCCAGACAGGCTCGCGTTTCTTTTGGAGCGGAAACCATTTGAGACAGCAAGAAACTCAGCGCAAGCTGCCCGGGGGGGTCCCCAGACCTTCAGTTTGGAACTGTGGAACTTCAGGTTTGGGTCACTTGTCTTACGTGGCCAGGAGTTTGGGGATTCAATCGTTTGTGGCCAAAACTCCTTTTATATAACTTCTCTTCAGACTTTGGGTACAGGATCCTAGTAGATGGAGATTTGTTCCTGGATCAGATAGCGCTGAACATGGGTTCGTTCTGAATCCTTTCATACCCTTTCCACAAGTGGTTCTTGGTGCTTTCGGTTGCCTTTTCCTCTGGATCTCATGGCTTTCCACTCCAATGGCCGTGCACGTCCTCGCCCTGCATGGCTGCCACGTGGTGATGATGTCCATCGACCGGCAGGTGGATCCGGAGACGGTGGTGGCGGCGGACTTGGTCAACTTTCACCAGGTGAACCGTCGGGACGACCCGTCGGACGACAGGATCGGCCGGACGCACGGGGTCGCGTCGCGCGGCTCCAAACCCCAAAGACGTGGTCGCCCAAAGACGTGACACCGTGGCCAGTGAGTCGTGTTCTATTTTTTGTTGGTGCTTTTTGGTTGTGATTGGGTCATCAGAGCAGTGGCACAAGAATCACCTACTGCTCTGATGTGGGACCCACTTGCGAATCACCCTTGGTTTGAAGGGGGTCATACCCGAACCCAACTCCACATCACCGGACCGTCAGCAAAGTATGCATTTAATTTTGGTGAAGTACGTTACTATGAGGCACCCAACCAGTAAGGATTTTCAAGTTCCTCATTTTTGAGATATATACCCTGGACATAGCTGATGGACCAAACCGGCCATGTTTAACCACCTCACCCATCGGACATCATTGGACGTTTTTGTCCAGGATCGCTTCTGTGGTCGTTGGCGGCTGCAGCCCTTCTCCAGCGACGGCCATCCGGTCTTCTCGCGCTTTGACAAGTCGGAGAAAGGCGCGACTGGACGCCCAGCCGGCCGCGCGGAGGGGCGACGGGTCGGTAAGGAGGAATTAAGGATGGAGGACTGGGGAAGGGGGATGGGGAAGGCTACTAAGGTTTAGGGAAGCTGTAAAAGTACGCTACGTGCTGGATGCGGGCACAACATGGAACACGATCAGTATAGCCATGAATACCCGGAGATCCCAGTTCCTGTGTTGGCTAAATATGGCTCTATATTGAGGGTAGTAGCTGTCTAGGCACGGGGACCTTCTGTGGGAAATGGAAGAGACCACTGCCAGACAAACCATTTCTACTGGGCATCACAGGAATTGGCCGCTGCAGCATCCTGTTTTGGACCCATGTAGCTTTGGGTCACTCGTTTGCCACCCCCCCCGGAAAAAATACAGAAACATGCAACATATTCAAAACTAAAGTAAAGATGAACAGACCAGTAGCAGACCAGTACTACCAACCCAATGCTTACTTCTAGGTGTTTGCCAAACACTTTTCAGACTTGGTGAGGGAAGCATACACCGGTTTTGAGCCATCGCCTGCGAAGCTTGAGAGGCAGCGGACAGTTCTTCCTCTACTACCGGGCCGCCCAGAAGTCGCCTGGCAAAAGGACACCCTGACTGGTCCCCACCAAGAATGAATAGAATAGACTGCATATTTTAGTAGGGGGACCCCCAACCAACCAGGTCAACCAATGGGTAGACTTCTTCCAGGACGTCTTTGGGAGGTCTCCCTGTTACTCTTATCTGACATGGTCAACCTCCATGAACGACTATGGCTCTGAGACCACAGGCTATGCGGCTATCCAGAACTCCAACGTTTTGCTATTCGCTTCTTCAAGCCGCAGCGAACCTCCGCTTCGACCCGGGGGGTGACGAGTCCATCGCTCCAACCAGCGACCCAATTGCTTCGGGGAGCGGATCGAGGATGTGGACCATCGACGCAGAGGTGGATAAAGTGGCGCCGGCCTTTGCGCCGCACGGCGGAGATCGACGACGGGAGGGGGAAACATGAAGGGACACGCAGATCGCGGGGGACCGTTTTGGGGTCATCGGCGGAATGGGAGGTCGAAGGTTTGGAGCGACGGGGAGGAGGTGGTGCCACGGGTTACGCCAGGTTTTCAGCCATTCTGCAGCCGAGCTGGAAGACCATGGTTGCGTCGAGTGACTCAGGTACACTCGGAATTCCAACTACAAGAAGGGCTGGTGGCGTATGGCATCTTGGGTCCCTTGGCGTTGGGGCCATGGTTGCTGAGGCTGGAAGAAGTTGTGGGGGGCCATGGCTGGTGGCTGGTCCGGGTTGCTGGGTGTTCCCTCAGGTGCAGGAGATGCATCTCGCATTTTGTTTTTGTTGGTAGGTGCGCACAGTGTTGATTAGGGGGCAGGAAGGAAACCAAACCGCAGGAGTTGGGATGGCTGGCTTCAAACATCTTGGGCAGGTTCGGCAGTAAAATTCATTGTAAAACTAACAGATCTGGCCATATCGTCAGGGCGGCGGTTGTCACTTTTTCTCCCGGACAATGTGAACCGCCGGCCCAGTCGACTGCACAAATTGTTCGACCGTTAACTGGCTTTGTTCACTGAACGGACGACGCACTCTTTTTTGCATTGGGATGCGCCGGGTGGGTAAGTGATCCGGCCACTTCCCAGGTGGTCAACAAGGGCATGCGCGTGCTGACCGCGGAGAATGCCGCATGGCGGACGAGGGGGAATTGCGCAAAGGAGACTGGCACTAGCTATATAAATGGAGGATGCTTCTGGATAATGCAGGTTTGATTTGTGAATGAAGGCTTATATAGGTTGAACAATTGCTGGCATGTTTTTGATTCTATAATGGGTACATATAGGTACTGTGTAAGATACTTGTTGCTCATGTGCCAAACTGTTTGGAAGAACCGGTCGTTATCAAGGAATGGAACGACACCCTTCCGAAAACCGTTCTCAAAGTTATTTCAAGATACATACCAAGCTGGTTTCTCTCTAGAGATGAATAAATGGGAAACTTATTTCATGACATGGGTTGCGCAAAGAAGTGCACTGCCACAGCCTCCTGGACTTAAAAGAAAGGGGTTCCTCCATGGCTGGCTGGCGGTTTTGGTCTTTGTCTTCCGGGCAGATAGGAGGCCAAGCATGTTGTGCCGAGAGAGCAATGCTCTGAACCAACATATCCCATTCTTTCTGTTGTCTTATCCACGGAGTACGACAGGGCTCATGTTCGTAATGTGGATCTCGGGGCATGATCGACCAACAAGGGAAGATTTGTTCAACTCCACACATGCCCCTTTCCCATGGGGGGGAAACGATGATATCCTGCTCAGAGGGCAGAAGAAAGTGGCTGAAAGATGCTGAAAGATCACTTTGTTGGAATGTGCGGATGATTTCTGCACGGATGCCCAAAAGGGTTTAGAAGGGAACTGGCTTCGGCTGAAAGAATCAAGCTCCACAGGCTCACCCTGAGTGGGGGGCGTCCGGAGATTGGCTTTGAAGTCAGCAACGGTGTAAGTATAGATCCTGGCTGCTCAGCGTTGTTTAGTCAACTAGTTCATCAAGTTTCCTGATATTTTCAAGGGATACACCCGGGACTACAGCGTAGGTGCACACGCACACAAGCATCAGCAGCTCTTTAGAAACTGCATGTGTACAAACGTCCATAACTTAAATGAACGGCAGGTAGTGCATCACTGCAATGTGTACTCACCAAAATTTCTGGTAGCCATAGTCTGCTGTTAGTTCCAATGCTGACGGCATGGCACGGATCATGTGGTTTCTCCCGCGCGTGCGCCACGTGGGCCCTTGCAGCGCGAGACTTCACTAGTCAGCAGCTTCCCAGCCCAAAAGGTGGTTGGTTGGTGAGTTCGTTTGGCAGGGTTTGCAATACCAGAGGAGAAATTTCCCATGGGACTTTCCATCTTAGTGGCTACAGGGTCATTGCCATTTCTGGAAAGAATTGGAAAGTCCATCGCGTGGTGAAGGTCACATTTCACGGACTTCCAAAGTCTCCGCAAGCCTGGCAAGTTCATCACGTAGATAGCGACAAAGCCAACAACCGCCTAGACAACCTGGAGTATGTGACCGCAAGTCAAAATGTGTATCACTCATACTCTAGCGCTTCCAGACGCAACAACAAGCTTGCACTGTCGCAGCCTGTGCTGTGGAGACTTGTTGGGTCCACAAGCTGGACAGCTTCTTCCTCGATTACTGCAGCATCTCAGCAGCTGGGGATGAGCAGACAGACAGTGTCAACACGCAGCCGGAACCAGTCTGCAGCAAAAGGCTACGAGTTCAAGTTGCAAGATGCCAGCCAGCATAGGTTGCCTGGCGAAGAATGGCGACCGATGCTGGATCCGAACTCAGGTGCCAAAGTTCCTGGAAGGATGGTTAGTTCACTTGGCCGAGTGACATCGCAAACGGGGTTGAGAAGTTATGGGTGCTTGTCCCCAGAAGGGTACTATGTCACTGGACTACGCATTTCACGAGTTCGTACTGTTATCGGTGTCCATCGCCTCGTGGCTTTTGCGTATCTTGGGCCACCACCTACTCCAAACCGGAAACTTGTCAATCATAGAGACCTCGACAAAGGGAACAACTCGGTGAGAAACTTGGAATGGGTTTCTCCTGCTGAAAATGTGATTGACTTCTATTCCAAATCAGTTGCTGAAACTAGGACTTCTGCAAAGCCTGTTTGGAGCCGGCCTCATGGAGCTGACGATAGGTGGACACGGCATGACTCCATGGCAAGAGCAGCGCATGAGCTTGGGGTTGGCAGGCGCGATATTTCTCGCTGTATTCGACGCAGCCTACAGCAAGTTGATGGATTCGAGTTCTGGCTTGACAAGTTGTCAGAGACATGTTCGCTGCCAGGTGAAGTGTGGCGACAAGTCAATGTTACTGCCCTGCTGCAAGACAAGGAAGCACGCAAGCACGGTGCAAAGTGATTCTGCCTGAAATTGAAGGATTCATCATGCTTACACCCGCGCCTCCACCTTGGCCACAAGGTCATAATCCTGCAGCACTTTGAGACTGATGTTAGTATTTATTTGCAAGTTGCGTAGCTACAGGGGGAAAACACCATGGTCTCAGCTCCAACTGGAGTTCCAGCTTGGGCAGATGTGCTGATGAAGAGTGGCGATACATCGATGAGTCGAGGCCGAGCCACGTGTGCCGTGAAGAGGCCGAGCCTCAACGTTTTTCCAATGATGGTATTGTTGGCCCATGTTGGCCCTTACGACTCAGAGTTCGAACAGAACAGGTCTTTCAGACCGTCTCCAAAACGTTTTGAATCGGGTGTCAGAGGTCAACCACCTGGTACCTGACTTGGGACATTGATTGCTTGACTTGAAAAGTATTTGGGTTTGCTCGGAAGGTGTTGGTAGTCCTTGGTACACACATTCTTGGGACGTGGACCTGCAGTCTACCGCAGCTGGTTTTGAGTGAGGTGTGAAGTCCAAAGTCAGTGTGCGATGAATCAACAGTCAACAGAAACTGTACGGAGTGCGCCAAATTGGTTGAGTCCCAGCCTGCCAGCTCTCCTTTTTCGATGCTGAATCAACAGACTGCTGTGGATTTCACGCCTGGGTGTCTCCAATGATGAAGCACAAACAAATTGGACTCTTGCCACATCTTGCAACTAATATGCAACATCTTTACGCCTTTGGGTGGTTTTGGGCTTTCATTTCGGATGAACAGACAGAGTTATATTGACACGTCCTGGACATTTCCCGCTTTCTTTCGTTCTGGGGGGCTACAATATATCACCTCTTGGTGGGCAACATGGTGCAAGCTGTGAGGATTGATCGACAGAGCGATCTTCCAGGAGGGAACATACAGAGTTACGTGTGAGTTTGGGAGTAGATGGCACCAAATTGTAGATGTCCTGAAGAGATGGGCCATACAAACTCAAACTTGGGGGCTGCGCAGACATGCCATCGACTCTGAATCCACATGTGAGTTGGCAGCATGGGTAATTGTTCAACAGGTGGGGTTTGGTGACTCAGGGTGACACCGTCGGCTGACCAGCGGGCCATCCGACAAGGGGGATAGTCGGATAGACCGACAGGCTTTTTAGAGCCGTGCGGGCAGGTTCAGAACTCCTCGACTCCTAAGATGGACACATCTTGAAACCTAGTAACAAGTGCATCGCTACTGGTAACAAGGGCATTACTACTAGTAAGAAGAAGCTACTAGCAAACCCCAAATCCGATATCTCACGAATCTGGTGGCGCCGCTGACGAGTCCACATGAAAGCGGGACATCGGGATATCTGACGAATCCACCGAAGGTGAGTGTAGTCTCACTTCCTTAAAGTGAGTCAGCTATCAGCCATTGATGACATGATGACATCTCCAGAATCCGCAGGAGGCCGTGAGGTGCTTATTCCCCCCCCCCAAAAAAAGACCTCTGAACGGCAGCCTCTCTTCATTCCCCTCCGTCCATGCCATAGGTCCGCACACGTCGGTCACGTCTGACACGTGTCACGCATCCGAGCCAATGAGGTGCTGGGCTTTGGGTGTCAGGCCTGGAAAGGGGCAAAAGCCGAGGTGTAAAGAGGGGAACGAAGGATCGTGTGGAGACGGCGTTTTTTTTCTTTCCCGTTTTGTTTTTCGGTGGTTCGAGATCTTTCGATATCTCCGTGTCTTTTGAGCAGGATCCGATTTTGTTTTATGTTGAGATCTTTCTTTGTGTTCGAGGTGTGTTTGATGTTTTTTGCCTGCATGCTTGTGAGGTGTTTCGAGGCTATGAAGCGTATATCTTCCAGCCAGTGTTTTGATAAGAATTATGAAGAAGTAAGAATGCGAGATCAATGACAATTCTCCAGAGAGTTCCATCTTCCACCATCAGCCTACATCCATGCTCGGTCAACAACATATCTGCCCAGGTCCACCACATCAGAACATGTCCACAAAAAAATCTGCCCAACCAAAACATACCCCAAACCCAATCGAAAATTCGACACCAACGATCCCAATCATTCAGTGGCATTTCTAGCGACCCTTTGATTTTTGCAGTCGCTTCAGAACACCGAGCTACGAAGCGACACACCGAGCTTCGCAGGTCCGTGACACCGAGCTTCGCCTTCCGCCGTGCGTCTTCTCCGCCGTCTCCGCTCTTCCGCGCGGTCTCAGGCGGTGGTTGTCTCGGGGGTCGATGAACAGCTCACGGGATCCCCCGAGGACGTGGTGGGCGCCCTGGGCTCCCACGATGGGCTCGATCCAAAGCGTCGTGGGTGTTTTTGGATGGTGGAGTCATGATCAAAAGGCCTTGGACAAGTTGATTGGGCTCAACACTTGAGGTCGAAACCACACGCTATCACACGCTACTCCGCGTGGTGTTGAGCCATGTTTGATCGTGTTTGGACTCTGTCGTAGCCATCTTGGTCCAGCGTTGGTGGATGCAAGGGGTTTGGAAACCTTTCCAAGGCGATCATTGAATGGTTGAACCATACCGAAGAGGTGGGATTGACCATGCTACATGATGCTCAGGAGGGCCCTACAGGGCCTGGGGTGTTTCACGAAGATTGCTCGAGTATCAGTGGTGATTGTAGGGCTAGAGTTTGTTGTCGTTTGCTTGTTGGTGCATACATGCATAAGTGGTGAAGAAACACAAGATCGTCTCCTTTGTGCCAGGCCGTTTCCATGTGCTTTGTTACCTTGAAGGCAACATCATAGTCCACCTATAATCGCTTCATGTTGTGCCGATCCTAGTGCCGCACATGTGCGTGTCCTCCTGCAGGAGTACCTGGTACCGTTGAACGGCACTTACCTTCGACAACCCAAGGAAGACGATGTGAATGGACGGGCGCATTATGTTTTGGATGCTTGGATTGGGATTTGACGAGGCGTACGAGGCAATCACCATGGGTATACCATATGCCCCTCATCCATAAGAAACTACAAGTAACGAACAGTAATTATATAATCAGATCATGTAGAGCTTAAGCAGCCTTGTGCAGTAGTTGTTGGAATTCCGTGTAAATCATTAATTTGCAGCTAGCGTGTGCAGATTGCAAGCGCAGACAGTGTGCAGTAGCCCTTGCCTGCAATGCTGCTTTGGTGCACCCAAGCACTCCTGCACGAACACATGGATACCCATATATATATATATACAAAGATGGTAAAATTGATGTCATTTGCAGGGTTTTGTAGGATAGACTTTGGAGTGGACACTGCCACATAGGCGTATAAGCATTCTCCAACTCCACAAGTGTTGCTCTCTTTGAAGACGCACAGACTATAGGTGTGTGTGTGTGTGTGGGGTGACTCTCCATCGCCATTCGTGACATTCTCCTTCAAACCCTTTCGCCAATGCGGATCAAGCAGAAGGGGGGGTAATCGATTAATCCACAAAGACAGAAAAGTAGATCCCCACGTTCAGAAGGTCTTGGAAACCGTGCCACGGTCATCTATTTGGAGACCACAGTTCTGTCGATTCACAGTTCTTGGGAACAAACTGCAGAATGTCCTGCCGCCCTGGGCCGAGGAGAAACCACGGCGTCACCTCTTCTTTGACGTCGGTGTCTTGACAGACGTCGGTGTCTTCTTTGACCTGTTTTGAGTTCTGGAATGTTCTCACTCACTGTTGAAGCGATTGAAGAGGGTTATCCTCTACGAGGGTGAGTACCATGCTACTGTTTGGATGACAGGCTTTCCTTCCATTGGTGTTGAGACAAGTGTTCTTTATGCCTAGAGTGAACTCTCAGCACATCAATACATTAATTTTGCTGTGAAGCTATTTGTGGCAGTGTTCGTCTCGATATTGTTGAGGGTGAATTTAGAGAGCATGTAATGTTTGGCTAATCTTTGGGAGATCGATCATGCATTGGTTTGAGTTTTGCTGGTTGAAAGCTGCCTACTGGTAGGACAGTTGAATTTGAGCATTATCCAAAAAAGGAAAGTAGTAGGGTTCTTTTCTATATGTCAGACCAATATTGGGAGTTGATCACAGAGTATCAACCCACCGCGGCGATTAGCGTTCATAGTCTTGTGACTAGTCACACCTCCATGGATGTTCCGCACAGTATAGCGGCTCTTTGGCTGGTTTGAGTGCTTCAGAAAACCTGGTTTGTGGAGGAGATTTGGGTGTACGTCAAGAACAAAATCACCCAACACAACAATAGCTACAGTATCCCAACAATATATATATACATTGACATGCACCCTTAAGTAATGAACCACCACCCTAACTTAGGGTGGTGGCTTAGGAAACAGTTCCATACGTGGATTGTTAGAGATATATAGATTGGAACATTCTATGATGTTCCGGATCTTCACAAAGGATTGATAGAGTTTGGTGACAGCCAACTTGCAGCAACCTGAGTTTTCTCCGAATGTCCGATGCTCTTCCGGGGGCGCCATCACTATCCACTCCAACGAGGGCAGATCTACCATGTTGTTTTCGTTCTTGTTCAGCTTCCCTAGCTTCGGCTGGCGTGCTTCAGCACTCAGGTATGGATTGCTGGTGTATTGCACACATTTGTCATTCCGACGAGGGTGTCTATGCCAAGTCGTGCAGCAAGACACTGGTGCTTCTGACGCAATGGGCTGACACTGTTCCCAAAGTCTGGATAGTGTAGAAACCACATCCAAAGAGCCACTTTAGATGGAGAAAATTTCGGAAGGAAACGCTGCTTTCAACGGAATGAATCTCTTCTCATGTAAAGCCTAAAAAGAAGCCAGCCTCCCACAAGAGAAGTGAACCACATTGAAGACACCAACACTCAGAACACGTTGCTTTGGGTAGTGGGTGGGATTTAGAGAACTGTTCTTACGGATTCCTGGAAGCTTTTCTTCCGGGGAGGGGACATGTTCATGTTTCTGTTTTTGTTGCAAGCTTCTGAACCAAGAATAGCAGGTCATATACTAGGGACATTTGTCTTGCTTTTGCTACATATATAGAGCTTCTGAACGAAGTGCAAACGGTATTGAGGTTTGAGATCATTTGACCAATCAAAACAAATAGGGCACACCTTCCATGACAGGCTACTTCTCCTCTTCTCCAGGTTCCATCATGCATTCTCCACGTATCATCATATGGGCATCGGCATGAATTGATGATGGAGCCAAAGAATTAACATGTTCTGCAACAACAGATGGATTCTTAGAGCCTGTAGTTGTTGGTGATGAATGATGGTATTTTTCGATCTGAAAGCATCTCCCCACCAGGTCTCTCAATATTTGACCATGGGCGTGGATCAGAAGGCGGCATCGGGAAGACACATCCGTGGTCACAGTTTGATGATTTATGAGGTTCGCATCTCACAAGTGGTTCACATGTTTGGGTGTTGATGTTCAACCAGCTTTCATTGATTATTTTTGGGGAGGAAGGGGTGGCAGATACCTTTTCAAAAAATTGTGCAACCCACTTTACTTTGTTATGAAGCAGCTGGATAGCCAATGATCAATGGTAGTGGTTCAGCTATGTTGTCGCAGTGGTTGCCACGGAACACATCGAACCTGCACATGTTCCCAAGCTTCTCCATACTCTTTGGTGCTGCTAAAGTTGGTGAATTACTCTTGCAGGTTAACCAGGGAGCCCAAATAGCCGGCAACCACGGGATCACAGATATTGAGTCTTTTCTGAATGATGGCGCTTGCTCTCGATTCAGCACAAACTATTTGGTGCTTCGTTCACAAACACCATGAAGGTGCAAAAAAGTTCCAGGCTGCCATTCCAGTCCACTCCACACTCAAATTGAGGCCGTCTTCAACCTCCACCACCCCACCCTCCGTGTCCTACAAATGTTGCATGTTTCTTTCACGCTCATTCCAACGCTTTGACTTTGACATGCCACGACCATGGTCCCTAATCCAAAGAAAGACTGCGCTATTTATGGAAATCCCAATCCCCTCGAACGGGTATGCCCGGTGTGCTGGGTCCGACCGACTGACCTCGAGGGCGCCCAGACATTTTTCCCAAGACAACCTCAAAGGCGCCTTCAGTGGCTTGAACTTGGGGATTCCGACGCCACACGACCACCGTCTTCCGCGCGTGGAGCGCCGCGCGGCGCGGATAGACACCGTGTTCGATCGCACGTGCGTGTTCGCAGGTGCCGGAGGCCATGGTGACGTTTGTGACCGCTGGGCAGGAGGCCACTGCCACCACCAGGCGGAGGGGGGCAGGAGCAGTTAGGGAGAGGGAGAGGGAATTGAGGAGTTACAGGAACTCATGAGCTGGGTGTGAAATGGTGTGGAGACATCGCTCAGGTTTGCTTTTTGTTAACTTTAGGGCCTTCTTGAGCCTTCAGATGGTGAGAATGTGAGGAGCGGTCTCACAGTATAGAGAGAGAGGGAGAAAGACACACACACACACAGCCGGTAAAGCAGCAATCTCTGGTTGGCAGGTGATGTGCTAGGTCCCTAGGTTGCCTTTTCGACTCGAGAGCTGGCTGGAAGCAGTGCTGGCTTTGATCTAGAATCTACATCAACATCTGAACACTAAAGAGGCGCGATGCGACTGTGGGACTGCAGTTCAAAACTCTAGTACAAAGTTTCATCGATGCACAAGCAGCTGGGTCTTATGATGTCTTATGGAAATGGAATCATTTTTTGTCATGTGACCAGTTTTATCCATGATCCATGATTCCACCCAGAATCCATGTTATCAGTTGGACATGTGAGCTGATCTGCTCCCTTGATCCTGTGCCCCAGGCAACAAGAAGAGGCGGAGGGCGAAACCGACTTCCCTCTGCTGCGATGGGAGGATAGCAGCAGGGAGCCTTAGTTGGCAGCAGTCCGGAGCTGTTTGCAGAGTCAACTCCTTGAACCGTCACTGGGTTTCGGCGGTTTCGGCCGGTGCTGCTGTGAATTGACTCTCATGCCAATGGATGCAAGGGGTGAACCACTCACTGATTGGAATCATCCTAAAAACCAACTATACGCTTTGATACCATGCTTAGACTGGCTTACCCAACACCCCTTCTCAGAAGTGTTGCAGCAATTTTGCTATGGGAGTGGTTGATCCGCAATCACACAGAGGGTTGCGGATTGCTTGAACCTGCGTTTTGTGCATTCAGGGAGCGGCAACCTAAGGGATTTCTTGTGTGCTTGTATCCACCCAGAGGGATTCAGAGGGTCGGTAATTACTCACAGAAGAACCATTGTCTCAAAAGATCAGGCACACGACCCAAGTCCGTCTAGTCTCCCAGAATTGGTTTACACAATTTGAGAACATCTACAAAACCCAACAACCGTAGAGATGTTCCCTGAAACACCGGATTGGATCATCTACCAGTTCGCCCGGGTGCGTCCGGGCGGACCGGACCGAGGCCACGATTGCATGCTCTTCTCGAACCGTCAGCACCAGGCGGGCGGACACCGCCGGAGTGACTGGGAGTGACTGGGCTCGGCTCGGTGGACTAGTGGTGGACAAAGAGTGACATGCTGCTCAGATCTTCTTGTGGGGCCACAGATCTGCCTGTGACCCTTTAAACTTTAAAGTTGTTTTTTTTTCTCCATGATTTGCATTGCGAGCTTATCGCGGCAGGATTTGGCACTTATTGCAACTTATACCCTCAGTGCATTTTTGTGCATGGGATTTTTGAGGCTACCTTGATTGCAGATGGGTCACGGCTCTTGCAGATTCTGGATTGAAGGGATAGGACACATGTAGTAACTGTTTTACCAGCTTGCTCTAGCCGGCAAGCATATTTGAATCCCTCTCGCTACTGTCAGGGTTTAAGTCGTGCTTGTTTTGCCAGTTATAAAGGACATCGCAGCAAGTGAAGCTGCGATGCAACACCAAAAACAATCAATGATATCAATGTGTTTATTGCATTTCGCTCAGTCAAATCCTCTTGAATCAATTCGACGAGATTCCTCATGCCGCGAACTACCATGTGTGGTGTTTGTTCAACGGAGGCTTTAACATGTCAACTGGAGGTCTGCCCTGTCAGAGCACCGAACCACCAGTGACTCTCACTCCGCGGACAGGTTTGTTTCCTGTCCTCGCAACCTTCAAGGCCCGTTTCCTGGGTCGAACGAATGAGGAACTCCTGAGTGGAGGTGCTTTCTAGTTGGAACTGAGTGGAATCAGCTTGGAGTTGCTGAAATACACTCAATTTCTTTGCCTTAACACATTGCATCGAAATGAATTCCCCGATGTTTGAACGAGAAGCACGCCGGCCTGCTGTTCAGCGAGAAAGTCACGGTGTCTGGAGCGGTTGTGCACAATTTCTTTGAATTTCTCGCCTATACCACCACAACGTTTATAGTGGTTCCAGTGGTTCCCTTGATTTCAATCACCACTGTGTGATGATTCCGTCTTGTCATGGTTGTGATTTAAAGCATAGACTTCTCACCTCCCACCGACACAGGGCTGCCTCGAGCAGCCTCATGAGCCCCATGTTTTTTCCTCTCAGAGGCTGCGTATCTCGATGCACCCTGGGCTGCTGCAGCTTTTAGAGCGAAACCGCGTCTCAGCAACTTGGAACGAGGATCAGGTCTCGCGCCAGCGAATAAAAAGCGCCAGAAGCGTGCGAAACTCGCACGAAACGGAAGGCCCCCCCCGAAAATGAGCGCTCAGCATGGGGGATTCATCCAGGTGTCTTGTTCATCAACCACATTCGTTGGGAAACGAGATGACCAGCATGTGAGGCTGGATCTTTCGCTCCCTGTGGCCGCGGTATATTTTGGTATAGTCTTCACGCATGGTAGGATTGGAACACCATTCACAAAATAGCAATCGTTCATTCCTCCGCTGAGCAGCGCGGGCCACTGAGAAGAACGTCCAATACCTGAACTGCGTGGGACAATACAGAAAACTCACAAAAAGACTCTCCTGGGACTCCTCATCATGACCACAATCATCTACTGAGCAGACGATATACCCAATAAAGGCCCTGAGTGGCCTGGATACATGCATATTGAAGATATTGACAGTGATCGGGTACCCGGTTTATGTAAGTCGTCTGGTCTCGTAAGTCGTCTGGTCTCGACGCGTCTCCTTGGATGACTTTGGACGAGCCGGGTGACTTTCCACTGTACCGTGCTGCGGCCCGGGTGACTTTCTGCGACCGATGAGGTGACTAGTCACCCCCGGCACCTGTACGCCAAAGAAATGGAACCTCTAACCCAAAAAGTGGTTTTGTTGTCGTTATTTTTTCTTTCTTTTTTCGTGCCTTTTCTGGTTCCATGTGGATCTTCATGTTTCCCACAGTATCAAATCGTCGCCTGGAACTCGAAAGAGGTTTAAAGCGCAAACCATAGTTCTTTGTCCAGAGCCGGTTTGTTTTGCAATTTCTTGTACCAGCACCCTCCAAGGGGTGTCCAATGGACTACTCCACACTACCTATAGGCTTCCATTGGGCACCCCTTAGAGGGTCCTGGTATGTGTCACTGTGTTTTTGTTGGCCATAATGGGGGTCCCACCCACTCTTCCTTGCTGTACTTCAACTGAGTTGGGACTTGCACTACTTCACCAGCTCTTTCCGGTCCAAGAGTCACACAGGTGGGCGAATCACTGGATGCCTTATCAGCGGACCACACCAAAGTCTTAGGCCTGAGGGCGACAGGGCGACGTGGCCAGGTGGCCAGGGTAGATGGAACGAATGTGTGTGTATTTTTGGTGGTTCTTTTTCGTCATACGTCATATGCCGATTCTTTTTTGTTTAAGACCGAGGACCCACACATCAACACATCAACATCTTCGTCCCCGGCACGTCCACCCGGTCAAATCCGCCGAAGCCGCGGAGGTTGCCTTACCGGAGTGAACCGGACGCTCGCAGACGCGGCCACCCTGCTGGATGGGAAGTACTGCCTCACAGGTGGGGACCGAGCGAAGGCAGAAAGGGAACGTCGTGTAACGCCTAACGCGTTTTCGGAAACGGCGAGGGCAGCGTGGCAAGATGGACTCCGCTTTTACCTGCCCGTTTGACTGCCATGTCAATGTCCCAGAAATTGCGACCATAGGACGAGTGTTTGGTTAGAAAAGTAGATCCCCGCTAAACATGTAGACAGGACCACTATAAAGACCCCAAGACACCATCTGATCATGGTTCTTGATCGGGTCGTCCGTCCACCGACACACCAAGGTGATGCGGTGTTGAAGATGTTGGCGATCTTCGTGCGCATGCGATGTGGTCTCCCTGTGTTGCGCGGCGAAAGAAGAACGTTGGGCAAAAGAGTTTGTCTTTGCTTTTTTTCTGCTTGTTCTGACCTTTTCAGGTTTGTGATGTCCAGACGAAAGCACACAAAGGATATGTTGCATGTTGTCCGTTGGAATGAGACATTCTTTCGAAGCCCTGTGGAGGGGTATGTGGAACTGAACATCCAGGTGGTTTAGTAGCACTCGCCGGCGGGACCGGCAGCTCTTCAGGATCCTCATGGGTGAATGTGGCTGTGGCAAGACGGAACTTGTCCGGTACTTGTGCGCCTGGATGCGTTTGCCCTTGCTCACGCTCAATGTGCACGGTGGCACCACCGAAGATGACATGGATCAGGCCACATCAGAGATTGTTGGTAGGGGAAAAGGTGGGAGTTACATGTTCATCCGTGAGGGTGACTTAAATTAGTGACCATATCGGGGTGGCTCGCTTTGTGCATGCAGATGTGCTCAGCTTGAGGGTGATTAGATGAACAACAGAGCGATTGCCTTTGCTTCACCCAGCTCCACACAGGTCTTTCGGGAGGCCAGGACGATGGCGGAGGAGGAAAGTGCCAAGGAGGGTGAGATGCAGCGCAGATGTGGGTGGGGGTTGGGAGTAGGAGAATGTAGGACATTTTCTTCAGAGGTTCAACCCAACCGGAAATGGAAGAAACACTGGTTTGATCTTCGACATTTCCTTTTGACCACAGGAGCAAGAATTGCCAAGTTCAATTCAGATGCAGCTCATTTTCCAGGCTGCTGGTCCAACTGTCAGGGCAGGTGCTTGTGGGCAACACCCGAGAGGGTTCCTTCAATGCTTTGTCGGAAGAGCAGATGAGACGGATTCCGCTCATACTGTATCTAAGTAGTCGTCACCTTCAAGGCATTGACAGGAACTTCCACAGGCCTGGGGTCGAATTTCAATCATTGCACCTGGACGCTGACAATTCTCCTGTCGGGGATCTTCCATGTCTAGAGCCTGGTGACTCATTGTATCTCACTGTGTCACATAGCCCATTTCATCCAATGAATTTGACCTACAGTACGATCCGCACCTTTTTTCTTTTGGTCCGCCTCTAAAAGGACGGCTTGGTGGTCTTCTTGGACGAGATCAACACCTCTCAGCATGTGAACATGCTATGCGAGGCGCGAGAGTGAGAGGCCCAAACAGAAGGATCACGAAGGCCCAGTCATCAACAGGTCAGCCCAGGGCAGCTGACTTACGGAAAGTGCACGGATCATTATTGATGCAGCCAATTTAGCCAATCATCAAAATGTGGACTGGGACGGCCGACTGGGACGGCCGAGAGATTTGAAGGCTTGCTTTGCGGAAGGTGTGTCAAACAGAATTCTTTAGACAGATCTCACTTCTGACAGGCGGTGCTGGAACGCTCCTACCGCTTCTCGGACACGTGTAGAAGCCACTTTGGGTGGGGAGAAGAGAAGATCAGGTTCTGAGCAGCTTTCTTGGCTATCAATCCAAGGAACAACAGAGCACCTGTCTTTATACAATTGACACTTGAAACTACAGAGATTCCTGTATGGCCTTTGCGGCGTAGCCGTCGACGGGCGTGGGTTGCTGCGCCGTTCGGGTCCGTTCCTCGAGGTAGCTGCGCCTTGCCGGAGACGGTGACGGTGCTGGCGGCCTTGAACCCGCGCCGGAAGCGGCCACAGGCGCGGTGAAGCTGGAAGAGTCAGAGGCGAAGAGACGGGGGGTTCCAACCAGCGATGAGCTGGTTGGTTCAAAGCATGTATTTGTTATTTTAAATGTTTTTTTGCAAGTATCGGCATCATGTGGAAAATGGATGAACTTGCGTGACATTGACCAACAATCGTATACAATTGTGAAACATTGTGAAGTACTGCTGCAATTTTCATACTTCTAAGCGGTCAACCGGCACGTGAACTTGTGTTTGATTTGTGATTTTGGCTCAACTGGTGTGTGTGGGTCTGGGTTCAATCTTAATGACCAAACTCCCTCTTCTGGGCGTTCCTTGAGGCCCTGAAAGGCTGGCAGGTGATTGTTATTTTCTTTTTCAGGGTCTTCACCTGAGATGGAAAAGAACATGACTGCAGTCCCAATATGGAGAGACATCCAGCAGTCCCCATGCGCTCCGAAACCTGCCTCTAATTTGATATTTTTTGAACCACATAAGTCAAGGACTTGTCAAAATCACGGTGCACACAGGACGCACAAACTTCAGCCGCAGAAAAGAGATACCAAAACTGGTAGGGGCGGTGCTGGTAGAGAGGAAACCTCTTCTTCCCAACACTCTTATTGTGACAGTTGCCAGGTCATTTGTTGAAACCTACAGCCTACAACATGAGACAGTGTCCCGGAAGAAGGCTTTTGAGGCTTTTGAGATTACACACCAGGTCCTGTAATCTGAAAAGCCTTCTCATGAGGCCCAAATGACGACGGGCTTGGTCTATGGCGCGGGTGGTGCAGAGGACCTGCAATGGACAGGACATTGATTGAGGATGGCAGACGATCTGGTACACCAGCCATTGGGACTGTCTGTTGCATAGATGGATTTACTGTAGAATCAATTATTCAGGGGATTTGAGTTGGGGGATAGAGATACCAATATATTGGGTCTGTCCTATTACCTGCAACAGTCTGTTAACAATGATCACTATTTTAGAGAAAGGCCTTTACGAACCATCATCATCCACTGTTACTGGTAATAGGATAGACCCAACCAATATAGTTTATGATTACATCTAGAAAAGTTACTGTAGGCTTCCAGACAATTGACTCAGAAGTGGCATCGGTGACCTTGAAGAACGAGGAAGGCTTCTCCGGTGGGAGACATTCTTGAAGTTTTAGGAGTAAGAATTGATTCAGACTTTCCCTGAAATATTCGCAGTGAAGTCCCACCTGTTTGGTATAGAATGGGATTTCCTGGTCCCAACTTGGGGGGGGCCTTTGGTCCGCCGACCGGCATCGTTCAGGAGGAGATGTCCAGCTTGGTGTACCGAGTTCACTCGGTGCCCGAGACGGTGAACGACTTCCTCTTCGACTTCGGAGTGACTCGGCGTGAACTCGGCGGTGTTTCTTGGGGTGGGCAGGATATCTCGCGGATGAGAAGAGAGGCTTTGGGGCTTTGGGGAGTGAAAGAAAGTTCGTTTCTGAAAGCACATGTTAAGACATGAAGCATATCGGTTCATTGCAACTATCAGTACTTCCACCATGTTTCACCTTCTAATTTTCTCTAAGAACATCTAAGAACTGTGGGTGCCCAACAAGTGTGACCCTACATACCCCACTTAATGACTTGATGCGCCATCGGTGTGTATCTCCTTTGGGCTGACCTAGCCTCCAAGAATGATAGTTATCTTTTTTTTAAATACTCTTCCTGCCGCCATGGCGGTCACAAGCCGATCAGATGCCCTTCGTGATGCCAGAAACTTTTCGTTGATGCGCTCTCAAGAGTAATCATCAGTTGATCGGAAGGCTCGCAGCTCGCAGCGCAGATGCCGACGCGGACGAGAGTTATGCCTCCCCAAAAAACTGTGTTTCACTTCAGAATATCAACTCAGAAAGGATCTACAACCTCTATCAACCTCTACTTTCAGGGTGCTGATGGGTCAGTTATTGGGCCTGTCACTATCAGCAGATCATCACGAGATAGATGAGCGAGATGACACAGCCATGTGGTCGCGACCTGTGATGCTGCGGCTGGTGGTAGGTTGCCAGCTGGGGGGTGGCAAAGGAGAAGCAGATGCGTCAGGAATCGGTTGGTTTGTCGGAACACATGTCGTGTGTAGAAGAATTCAATACTGCTTGCCCAATGAGGTGGAGTAGCACTGGCTTCACAAGATGGCGTACGCTTATACGTACAATCCCATGTAGTAATGCCCTTTGGTAACAAGTGCATCGCTACTAGTAACAAGGGCATTACTACTAGTAACAAGAAGCTACTAGTAGCGATGCCCTTGTTACTATGGTTCTTGGTGCAAGGGGGTGCGAAGTGTTATTGAATCAAGTGCTCCAGCGCAAACGGGTGCTTTTAAGCATATTCAACAGCGACATTGGGTGCATAGAACGATCCATTATATCTCCACCCGTGCAATCCCAATCGAAGGATGATCAGGATGGCCGTGCCAATCGGGACAGTTTGTTGCCCACTCTGATTCTTCCACTCCAGGTTCTATGGTGAGTGATGATGGACGTGTGTTTCTCGCACTCTAATCCTATGGACCCGCATGGACCTGGATTGATGATTTCTTGAATACAACAACCATCAGCTGGAACCCTTTGGACCGGACATGACCGGGCACACCCCGCTCTGAACCCAATATCCCAGATCCACAGAAACTCAGACTTAGAGCCTTGAATTCAGAACTCCGGCTTCCCTCTTCATTTTGACATGCCAGCCACGCTCGTCTCAGCCATTTGACGCCCAAGCCATCGTGGCACCGCGCGGCAACCATGGCTGCGCCGCCCGTGGCGCCGCCCGTGGCGCCGCCCGTTTCCATCGGAGCCACGCTGGCGGCGGAGTCCGAGGAGCCCAGTCTGGAGTGTCTCGGATTCGGTTCTGGTGCTCATGTTTACTGAGCGGAGCGACCCGGAGCTGGGGAGCGACCCGCGGCTCTCCATAGATTCGGAGCGACCCACGGGAGTTCACTCCCTAAGCCCGACAGCTACTGTAGTTTTGGGTGGTGGGATATTCTGAGGGTTCTTTGGGGCTCTAAAGTGAGGGGTAACGGATTGGGGATATTTGCTGTGACTTCTTCCGTTCGTGAGTGGAAGGGGGGGGGAGGTCTTGATATTTTCCTGGTTCAGTGTGGGGTTTGGTACGACAAGACCAGTCAGTTTAACTTTTACGGCTATACTTTCACGGGAAGCGAGTCTTGAAGATTTCAAGAGAAGCTTCTGTATCCAGATCTTGAGAACTTTGTCATTTTCATGTCATCTTCCACGGTTAGCACCTGAGTGTGTTGGTGAATAGAGGGCCCTCCAACCATCAGGCTGCGATTGGTATGTGCATGTATGTGCCCAAGTGCACGCTTCCATCCAGTTTCTAGTGTTCTTCTAAGCGGTATTTGGATGTATTTGGAGAATTTCAATCCTTGAACCATCACAGAAGGGTGTGAAGACACCAGCATGCCTTATGTAGTCCCAATAAATCTTCTAACCCAATCCACATGCAGATTCAGGGTGCAATCAGTATGCTCATAGCCACGTTGACTACTTCAAATTGTACTGCTTGACATCACCAGATTTCATCATAAGAATTTCTGTACTAAGTGTATAGTATAAATATATATACTATTCCACCAAGCTCGTGTCCCGCTGATGCCTTCTGTTTTCCCCATGTTCAAAATGGACCTCTTCGGCCCAGCTTCGTCCCGCCGGAGGCCCCCCTCGTCGCCCGGCTCCTCGGTGCTGCGAAGTCAAATCCAGGCGGGTCGGTGGGCGTTTTCGTCGGTGGTGTGGGCGTTTTCCACCGGGAAGTGGGTCCAAATGAGAAAAACATGGAGTTGAAATGGCGTTGAAGTGGTCCGACCACGAACGAAATGGAAGTGGGTCGGACCCGAACTGTGGTGTTGAAACAGGGAGTTGGAGGTGGGTCCACCAGGAGACCAGAGATGAAACACAGAGATAGGTGGGGCGGGTTCGCTCCCGCCTCCGGGAACTTTGGCACGTGAAGCCACCACTGCTGGCGACACTGGTGACCATGCAGTTTTCTTGGTAGCTACGTTTGGGTGGGACTCCTGCGAGGGTTGACAACGGACAGCGCTCTGGATTGTCATGGGTACTGGATCTGCTGGGAGTGGGACACCGTACTTACATACATAATCATAAATAGAATGCACGATTAGGAGGAGGTTGAGTCCTCGCATGTTCCGTCGCCCCGCAATGGAACGCTTGATTCTTTGAGTATTTGCAGTCTTTCGAGATATCACTGTCCTCAGTTCAACACACAAAAGAAGAGATGAAAACAACTTGTTGAATGCATGTTTACACGTCTTTGCCTTGTTCCATTCGAGGCAGCCGTGCTGGGAGATCATTTGTCTATCGAACTTCGTGTTGATCTCGCGCTCTCGCCGCTTCAAGGAGACGATCCAAAAGATGGCGGGGCTCATCTCGCAGATGGACGTGGTGGAGGAAAAGGTCTTCCGGGCCACGGATGCCTCCAGCGCTTTAAGGCCTGAAAAGGGGGAGATGGTTGGAGATGGTTGGATGGTTTTGTTGTTGGATGGTTTGGGCGGAGTGACAGTGGTGACAGTGAGGATGGTCACGATTGTGGATGGTACTGGGCTTTTGACACTGGTGCAGCTCCCGAGGTCGGTCCAATTTCGAGTGGCCCTTTTGGGTACAGGGGGAAGCAAGAAAAGTGTGTGGCAACAGCCAAGAGGACGGATGGTTTTCTCATCGCACCAGAGGTCGATCTTCAGGCTTCAGATACAGCGCATGTTTCAACCACCCCACATTGGACAAAAGATCAAAGATATACTATAGCTAGTACTATAGCCAGTCACTGGCCATCATTTTGATCCTCAAAGACCCAGTTCTGGACACCGAAAAAGACCTCCAGATCCAGAGGCGCTTCAGCCGGGGTTGGCAGTCGAAGTGCATGAATTCATTGAGTGGTGTGTGTGTGTGTTTCCCCTGAACATTCCATTGGAACGAGTCAAGAAAGCTACACGAACGAGTCAGGAAACCGAGTCGACGGGTTCATTGGACTTCGCTGCAGAAGCAGTATCTTCAGATTGCCTCATGGATGCCGCCCCCCCCAAATACCTGGGCTGTGGGGATTTATGACCATTTCACCTTCGAAGTCCAGTGACCGGCCTGACCCCCGGCCTGCCTCTTCTGTCTCTTCAGGCCGACGTTTGGTCGGTCGTGACGCCCAGGTGCTGTGGCCGGGCCCTGAATCCCAACTGCCGAGAGGATATGTGTCCCGGCGCACCGATGCGCACCGCGTGGGGCGGGATGAGGGCGGAATGAAGACAGTCCCGTGCTGACGGGATGAGGGCCCATTGGTTTGGGTCGCCAAAGCCAGCAAAGGCATTGAACATGTCGTTGAAACCAAACAATGTCATGAGTTCACTGCACTGTCAGAGGAAAAACATCAGAGTAGATCCGATTCTCTTGAGCTTTGGAGGCCTTCTTCCAGCTTTTCACTGACGTTTCACGCGCCAAAGTCATCAGTTTGTTCTCAATCAAAGAATGATGTTCACCAAAACACTGCATGGTGTCTACACAGGAAAGACTCATATGTCTCAAATTGTCTCAACAAAAACAGCGTTTGTAAATCATATCCGCCTATATGAAGGATCCGAAATCCATGGATGCAGGGAGTTCCTTTTTCAGCTTCCCACCATTTTGGGGAGGAATTCATTTCCCAGACCATCCATGCATGGAATATCATGGAATATATTATATGCCTATATAAACATTAACCCCTTGAATACAATCTTGGCCTTGGATGCCCCCTTTCTCATCGGAAATGCAAAGCTCAGACGCTCCTTTCGAGGTACGATTGGAGCTTCCCCACCCAGACGATCAATTGCTTCTGGAGCCATTCATGGCATGCAGAGCCGTGGAAACTCCTTTGCACTTGGCCAAACTTTGGCACCAAGTATTTGGAGATTACATAACTTTGGTCTTACTAAATAACACATGGTCTAATTTGATCATACATTGATCGACATACTTAATTTGCATCTACCAGTTGGCCAACAGTCACAACAGCAAGGGAGCAATCAGCACGGCCAAGGAAGAACTACTTTCTTCTTTTGGTCATGTACAACGGTCGTATGGCCGTATTGGCTGGTTCTTTGGCGGCCTTTCTAGCGATGCTGCTCTTCTATTTGGGCCTGGTGCCTTCGTACCAGAGAACCTTTGCAATTGAAGGCGCCGCCTATGATTTCGGCCCTTATGGCTTGAGTGCTGGTTGCATCGTGAGCGCTTGGGTACTGCTGCTGTTGCCGCCCAAGGGATCCCGGATTTTCCTGGACCGCATTTGTCGCCCGGATCCGATGGACGGGGCGAAGCGGCGGGGGGGGGGGGGTGGTGG